GGCCCTGACTCTGTGTAAGCACTACTCAGCAATAGCAAAACCACTCTCTCTGAAAAAAACCCCCCTCAATATTATCAACACTGTTTTCAGCACAAATCCAAAACATAGGCCCATGATAGCTACTATGAAGAAAAAACTCAGCTGAAACCAGGACACGGGTGCTGAGGTAGTGAGTAGAAGAGCCAGCATCAGCACTGCCTTGTAGCTCAACCGAAATAGGTTCTTACGTTGTTGGTTAGGGACATCGATGGAGATGCAAGAGAGAAAATACAATTTGCTTTGAGGTGTGGAAATTGTGAAATTAGAAAAGAAAAGCAACTATTTGGTTGAGCTTTGTCAGTACGGCTACAGATACAGTCTGTAAACCTGCTATTAGCTGCTTAGCTGTCTTCGCTGGGCAGCTATTCTTCTGTGCCTTTTTAGCTTAATGTTAAGTAGAACGTCATCAGTTCTGCACATAAATTAACTTAAAACCCCTACTTATTATTGTTTCTTTTTTGAAAACAAGTCATTCTTTAGTTTTGAGATTTTTTTCTAACAGTAGGATGTTCGTGAGACTATCGGTATGTATATTGAAAAAGTGTTAAAAAAACCCAAACAAACCAGACTTTAAAAAGTTCCAATATGGAGACTGCAATTAAACCAGGGAGTGTAAATAGCACTTTAACGTTAAACTGAATTAAGGCACCCTTGTACAACGTACTGTTTTTCTAAAAAGAAAATCTCACTCTATGCATATTTTTTCCTATACTCACTCTTCTTCCTATACTTAAATGAAAGCCCCAATATAAAACAGGCTATGGCAGTATAGTTCACTGTACTGCTGTGTCTTGTGTTGGAGGACTAAATCCTAATTACACAGAACATTTCCAATTAGTCTAAATGCATTCACCAGCAGTCTTTTAGTGAAAATTACCATCAGCATAATCCAGCAGATCCTCTCCTATTTTCAGCAGACACTCCATTGTAGTTGTTGTGAAGTTAGTATAGATTTTCAAGTCCAAAGACTCCTCCAAAGACATTAATTTACAAATCGTCCCAAGAGACACTGAAATAGTATTAATAAAACAACATTTTTCAAAGTTACTTTGGGGATTTTTTTCTTATTCATACAAGAAATCATGAGACACTTGAAGCAGTGTAGTTTGTTGGGTGTTGAAAAGATGTTTATGGTCAGTTCATGTTAATGTATGTAAAGAAATAAATTCACTGTAATTTTAATAGCACACGAGTAGACATTTCTTACTAAAATTTTTGCATTTTTTCCCTCCCAGACAGTATAATGGAAAATACAGAAGAGTCAGAATCCGAGTCAGAATCTGAAATTAAGAGAAAGGTGCAACAGAAACGTCACGGCAATTCATATCAATCTGACTTGACTTCTACAAAAAAATGCTTAACTCAGTTAAAGGTGGGTTAGATTTTAAAAACATGTAAACTTCTGTTTAACTTTAAAAGTTGATACATATTTTTAAAACAGGCATTCAGTTGTAAAATAAGTTGATGTCCTAAAAATCCTTAGAGCTGGGAGGAAGATTCACATAATTAAATTTTTAAAAAGTTACAATGATAGAGATATTTAAGTGTTAATATTGATACTTGTTATGAAATATTTATTTTCTGATTTGAACTAACAGGTGCTGCACTGGAAAGCAAAAGAACTTGTGTTTAAATTGATTGGCTGATCGATAAACCAGAAACTGATAATTTTGGTTTGCTATCTGAAATAGAGGAACAATATTTTACTCTGTTTTTATTTTTTTAATTTTTTTTTAAGTGTCATGATTTTCTGTAACAATAAAGACAGGAGTACTGCAAAGATGCAAGTACTTCTTATTGAGTTGCTCTCTTTCTCAGTGAAACTAGCACAGGTATCCAAATGGTATTCTCCAGTCTAGATGGAACTTTTCTGAATGAGAGATGTAAGATATTTTGGAAATTCCTGTAAAGCTCTCCATATGTCTTATCATCTTCCCAAGTTACTATGGAAGATTCATAATGCCCACATACAGGTCCCACTGTATGACTATCAAAGCAAAACTTGCTGTAAGGAGATCTTGGTTTTAAAAAAAAAAAAAAAAGTAGACCTGTGATTATTATATATATCAGCTTGTGTTTGCTCCTGTGTATTAGAAAGTAAGTCAGACTGTATTTCTTTGTTAGGATGAAATACTTGGTACTACTCTTATGCATTTCCGTTATATATTTAGTTAATATGATGTTACTGGAAATTTTAATAGATGAGTTTTTGATCTACATAGGGTATTGATATAGATATGATCTGTAAAAACTAAGTAATGAAGTAACAAAGCAGTTGAAAACAAAAGACATTACACTTCTGTGGGTTTTGTTCTAATCGTTACATTGATAACTTCTTTTTGTGTCTGTTTAAAGAAGTAAAATATTCATTGCTTATGTTCTGTCAGGTAGGGGACAAAAGCAGAAAACAGTCTTCTAGAGTGAAGTGTTCATTGAAGAAAACAATTTAAAAATAAATGGAATCTTGTCACTGCCTTGATAAAACAATTTTCAGTCTGAAGACCTAACAAATGTCATCTTTTAATATACAGAGTTTCTTCCTTACAAATTATGCGAATTAGCATGAGAGGAAGGATAGCAGCCTCATCATTTGTGGCTGGATTGTGATCTGTGTAGGCCATTTGCAGTAATTCCTGGCTCTAACTAGAAGACTCTGCATTCATTTAGAAGTGAGGTGTGCTTTCAGCATATTCCTCGCTATTACAAAGCCATGGTACTGACTACCAGATCTACTTCCTGTACTGTATGCACATAGAATGTGAGGGCTGGAGCTGCACGTAGAAGCATCAGCAGCTTGGTGTCCTTGAGCCAGACTGCGTGTAGCTGACTGACCACATTGCTAAAACAAGCTGTTCTCTGTCTCCCTGATAAAAAAGCGGCAGACTTGATTACATTGTTCCAGGGGCATGATTTCATTTCCAAACCCATCAGACAGATTGTACTTGTAAACAGTATTTAATAATTACATATGGTACTTTTTTCCATGTGCATCTTGGAAGTCTGTGAAGTTGAGAACACCGACAGTCATGAATGGAAACCAGTTAATTTTTCTCAGACAGGAAAGCTGAGTGCCTGCAGTAAAACTGTCAAGTAGTAAGCTTAAAAAAAAGATGAAACCCCCATATTTTTCACACAATGTATTATGAGATTTCAAAAAGGGATTGATAAAATTTTCTGAGGCTACATCATCATTAAACAGGTTGATTTCAATTGAACCACTGATTCAGGAAATGTCTACATTGGTAATGACATCACGTAAGGAGGACATGCCCTTACTCTATTCCCTGTGCTCCCAACCATCTACTACTGACCACTATTGAAAGCACAGCACAGGGCTAGATGAACCTTTACTCCAATCCCATGAGATAGTTATGATCCTGTAAGACTGTATAGTTTATGGATACACTTTCTGGATGTGGAACAGATCTCGCTGCAACTGAATTCACTAGCACAACTCTTGGGTTTATTTTCTTTTTCAAATGGGTTAAGAGTTTTATCCTTTTTTACAGTAAAGGGATTTAACACAATGATTTATGCATTTGTCATGAACCATATGCATTTTCATGAGTTGCCAAAGTGCGCAGATGATCGATCAGAGGTTTATGGAACCTCTGAACAATTCAGAAGTGTTGGTTGTGGTTTTATGGCAGAGGAATTACAGATATAACCAGCTCCTTGTCAGGCAAAGTGCAAATGGTTTTCATTTTACTAGACTATAACAGGTTGCACGTTCTAATTGTTAAAAACGTACAGAATTTTTAAAGGAAGGAGGATTTTCTGCTTCATATGTGCTTACTAAAAAAAAAAGCTGAAAAATAACAAAAGCTTTGGATTCTGAAACTTACAGAGATAGGGCAGAGTATTTGTATAGGGCATATAGTATTTGTATTTTGCAGATTTCAAAGTTTTAAAAAATGCTGTATTATACAAGTTATAAGGCAGACACATTGAGGTATAACTCATCTACTTAAGTAGTCATTTATCTTAAAATAGAGTCTAAAAAAAGAGTATGCCCCTCTTAATTAAACACTGTTCCCTACCATCAAGATGCAGGCTCTCAAACCGTGGAAAGGAAGTTGATTTTAAATTTGTGGTGTGTGGTTGAGGTAGAGGGGTGCAGTTATTCTATATTTAGGATCCTTCAGGTATGATTGGTAGCTTCTGTTGAATATTTTCATGTCTGATTGAAATTCTTCAATGTGATTAGCCATGTCTTTGTAAAGACTACATCCTCTAACTGAGCACTAAGGCACAACACTGATTTTCGTGTCACTTGCTATCTTATACTACCACTCAGGTTTTAAAGGTCTGATACATTTTATACACTGAGGTTTTTTTGCATCTGTTTCTCGATGGTATATGTAGCTGTGTTAAATCACAAAAATTTTGTAAAAATAATATATTCTCTTTATATGACTTTTGCCTTTACATTTGTTTTTAAAAATGATTGAAGATCCCAGAACTGAGGAAGTTGTCTTTATTGGAAAGGTGTTCATGGCTGGGGTTGAGGGGAGCAAATTGTGATAGCTATGTTTTGAAAATAGGTTCAGAAAATTTTTGGTGGGATGTAGGTATTTATTATCTTCAGTAGTTCACAGTACAGTGATTATGTCATTTGAGTTCAGTGCTCTAGGAGACAACCACATACATTAAATTTCAGTACTACAGGTATCGCACGTTCAACTCTGTATACATTAAGTAGCTGATGTATTAGTATTGAATCGCTTAGACTTAGAAGTTCTGCACTTGTGAGTGTTACCTAGTACGTGAGAAAGCAACAAAACACATCTCTGCAGTGACAGGATATGTTTTTCCCTTGTAGCCTTCTCCTTTCCTCTTGAAAGTTTGGGGAACTTCTGTTCCTCAAGTCTTGGTTTCTTCTTTGAGATACTGAACTCTAGAACAATGTATTTCCTTTTTTTTTTTTTTTTTTTTTTAGCAAATGAACTTCATGACCTAGGAGGTTGCTTATAGTCCTCTTCAGCATTGCTCTGTGGATCCTTAAGTTGCTTTATTTTTGTCCAATGAAACTATTTTTACAGAAGTGATATAACTGGACCTTCTTGCTGATGGTTATACATATCTGAACGGTGTGCAACCTTTTACATTTGGAAAGAAACAAGGCAAGAAGGAAAATCTGAATTGTCCAACCTTAATCAGTTTTTAAAAATTGCCACAAATGACACTTATTCTTCTTAGAATATTTTTCATTTTCTTAAATGAAAAAAATCAAACTGTATTTTAATGTTTGCTTTCTCTGTTTACTGTAATTGCTAATATAGTGTTGTCCATCTACACTCTGAATGGAAATTAAATGCAAGATTTGGAAATGGTATCTTTATACTTACACAGTTACTGATTTTGTGTGTGTGTGTGTCCTCTAGCTTTTGGAACAAATTGATTATTCTGCTGATTGCCCAAATTGTGGGCGGGCAAATGAAAATCAGACCAAATGCCGACATTGTGAAAGTGCTTCACTAAAGGATTTACAAAGAGTCTCTAGACAAACTGTGACACTAAGTGAATCTGTGGGACCTTTATCACGTTCTTCAATACATCAGAATTCAACAGGGCAAAAGTCTTCAGGTACAGGGTTCAACACAAAGAAGTTTTATAGTTCTGCTGTTGGGAAAGGTCCAACGGATATTCTACTGAGCAATGAAGTTGTAGGACATTCTATGTTACGACAGAATGGAAAAGTTGGTCTTATAACTGGGACAAAAAATCCTAAAATTACAGGAAGCTTAAGACAGAGGAGTACAAGACCATCTGAACTAAATGATCCAAGTAAGTACCTTTTCATGAATATAGTCATAAATTGGAAACCCAAAATATTGTATAATGAAGGAACTGCCCTTGCAGGTTTACATTACAGATTTTGCATGGAATTTTTTTGTGGGTGTGTTCTTGGGGAAGAGGGACAGACCTTTTTATAGTTTCCTTTTCATATACTGAGGTTCTCTCTGAGAAAGATGAACATTGGGGAAACCAAAAATTATTTCATTAATTGTTTGTTTGTTTGTTTGCTTTAAAAGACTTACACTTTATAATTTTTTAAAAAACTTCTTAGCAGAATTCCATCATTTATTCTCCCAAAGGGAAAGACAATCTCTGATTTTATTTTTTTTTATCTCTTTTGAGGTATGCATCTGAACACTGTCCAGGTTTTCCCATTTATTTAAATTTCTTAATTTGTAAAATGATTATTTTTGTGCTTTCTCTGCATAAACTCAAATTAATTTATAAGCAGGAAGGAACTGGAATTTGGGAAATGATGTTTCTAGTTCCGTGCTTAGCTTACTAGACCTTGTCATCTTACTGATTTGAACAATTTCAGTCACAATTTCTCCTATCAGTTTTTCTTAAGTTGTATTATTCACTGTCAATTCTTGATTGAACCAAGAAATGTATGGTTTCACTTCTGTGTGTAGATGCAGAGTAATGATATCCATTTCTTGTATAGTTAGTTGTGAGAAAAAAAAAAAGAGGGAGAGAGCACCTGCAAGCAGATTCCAAATAAGCATTAATAAAAGCATAATATAATGATAAATGTGGACTTTTTTTGGCACTGCAGGACAATTACATAAATTACTTTTAAGCTATTGCTTGAAAAGAAATTTCTCTTACAGCAAAATGTAGTGGTTGAGAATTTAATATTTTCTGTTTAGTTGTTTTGTCTAGTGATGATGATGAGGAGGATAGTGGCAGCACTAGGAGAATGGAAAGCATTTCACCTCGTCCTGCAGATTCAGCCCGCTCCTCCCCAGCTCCTTCTACAGGAAAGGTGGAAGCAGCATTAAAGGAAAACAGTTGTGGAATAGAACAGAGAATAGGTAGTATAACAACAGATACAGAAATTGCAGTCACACTACCAAGAAAAGCAAGAATGAAAGATCAGGTACTATTTAATGCTTTGTTTAAAGAAAACAAAAATCAAATCATAAATGGAAAATGTAAAGGCTTGTCTTGCATTGTCGGAAGTTGACTACGTTTGATTGCTTTTCTTATTTAGCAGCTCATTGAGTAGTATCTCCATCATACTAGAAACATAAGAAAATGTTCATTATATGCTTACAAGTGTTCACAATGATTTGAATTATGCTTTTAAGGTAGATGCTTCTGTGTTATACATGTACGCTTTGAGACTGGGCAGGGTACCTCTATGAAACTCAAGGGCCTACTTAGTTTTCAGAACGATGTCAGTACCAGCTGATGCCTGGTAGGACTGCAGACATATGAAGTTCAACATGAAAAGAAACACTGGGAACAATAGTGGCCCTTTAAAATTAAAATACTTTGACAACTGTCCCAATTAATAGCACTTATTTTAAGGATTTCATGGTGGTCCTTTTGGTTTTTAGTTGAGTACCACTGCAAGAATTGGATAAACAAAGATAATGCAATGCACCATGAGCAGACTCCTTAAGTGCTGTCAAAGGGGACAGCTCTCATGGTATATTAAAAACTTAACCACCTCAGTAGTGAGCCATTAAGAAGAATAAATTCCCTGTGGCAACCGGTGTCGAATTAATAGTGCTGATAAAAACCATTCTTGGGTCACTTGTCCAGTTTCAGTATTTTGAGTTTGGTTCAGCAAGAGTTACCAGATTTCCACCTGCAGTCTCAAATCCTTTGCATTTTCTGAGTTAGAACACTAAAGTAATGATTTCAAAACCTTCATGCTATGTTGAGATTCAGAAGCCAGCATTCTAGTGCTGTAATTGATGAAATTATGGATGTTTATTATGTGGTGTATAATTAGTCACCACTATCAATATAAAGCTGTGAACCTCTAGCCTACAATAAAGCTGTGGGGCTAAAAGCTTGGATGATAAATAGTTTTGAATTTCAGTTATTCTGGCATTATGTGCTGGATTAATTGAAAGCGTCGTATGTGAAGGCACTGGTGTCTAAGACTTCTGAATCTCTCCCATATGTTTTCCTTTGTATATCCATATGTTCCTGTTCACTAGTCTTTAAGAACCAGTTGTAACACTGGAAAATAACTGCATATTTTAGAGAAAAGAGCTTGCTTTTGAGAACAAGGGAAACGAATTTTTTTTGGTGGTATTTAAACACAAACTTTGCATTGATTCAGGGAAACTGCTAAGAATTGCAGCTATCACAGTGGTTTTGTCAGATACAGTAGAAGAAGCTTTAAGAAGCCTTTTTCATTTGTTTTTCTCTCCAAATATTCATTACTTCTTTTCGGAAGAGGCTACTTGAATATAGCACCGCTTTAATGTTTACTGTCTTACTGTTTGTCTGTGATTTGAGTTTTGAGCTTTCAATAATGTTTAGCTAGTCCAGCAGACAAAAATGAAAAGCTGTCTTAAACAAGAGTCCTAGGAAAGTATTTTAATTACAGGGGTTTAGAATCTGTACCTTCTCCACTGTATTTAAATGAAGCATCCAAAAGTATATTTTGAATTATGGACAAGATAGGCTAGTGATTAGGGATTTTGAAATAATTGTCAAGGTTTAGTCTTAATAGCAATATTTAATCCCTTAAAATATTTTTCTGTGCCAGTTTAATTGTATTTTGCAACCCAAAAGAATGTTTCTTAATGCACAGCTTTATTCAACAATATAAATACCAAAGAAAAGACTAGTGTACAGAAAATCCTTCCACAAAGTAGAGCAATATAAGCAATACAACAAATAAATATATTAATGTGATGGCTATCAGCCAGCTTTCCTTCATTTTAATAGGTTTTTGTAAGATTGTTCTGTTGGTAAACAGGAGACTTCATTGAAATTACAGCTTCAGTCAGCATCCAGAGACTTTCTTGAACTGGAGCCAAACTCCATGTGGCCACCTTTAAGTGCTTAGTCTTCTGATCCTAAAAACGTCTTAATAGTTCTGTAGAGTTGCTTTAAGGAATTTTGATTTGGTTTATATACTTACATTTCTTGAAGATTCTACACCTGCTAATGTGGTGATGCACTGTCCTTCTGTAATAACTCAGTGTTTTCATTCACCAAAAGCTTGGACTAATAAAAACTGAAACAAAAAAGCCACCACTAACATTGTGGTACTTTTACAGCATTAGTGTTTTTATATAAATAAACATATATTAAAAATAACCTTGTTTTGCCAGGCTGCACAATGTTTCAAAATGAGGAAAACTAAATTGTTGTGGCAATTTCAGAAGCATTATTTGTGATTTGGAAACGTTCACAAAATGTCTACGTGTGTCAGCTTACAGTTTTTTCTTGAATGTAGCAATGTTAACATCTTCAGGTGTTGCAAAAACTGCTTTAGGAAATTCCTGTCTTTTGTACATGATGGAGGTAGATGCTATAGTAAGTAATCTCGTTGACCAATAGAAAAGTAGCCGAAAATTTAGTCACTAGTTTTTAACAAGCTTGTTTTAGCAATAAATCTTAGTGAGACATTCTGAAATGTTGAAAATTACTTTTCAGTTTGGGAACATTGTGTCTAACACTCCAATAAAACGTCGTAAAGTTATTTCTCAAGAGATTGTAACTGAGGCTGTACCTGTAAATTATCAAAATTCCTGTGAAAGTGTCATTCTGAACTGTCGAAGTATACGAATAGGAACACTACGAAGAATGGTAGTGGAACCTGTGATTGTAAGTAAACTTGTTATTTGACAAATCTTTTCAGTTTTTGATGGACATTGTCATTTTCATACTTGAACATCGTACCATTTTGCTTTTGTCTGTGGAACAGTAAATTTGTCTCTGATTTCAGAGGCGGTGATTCCTAAAGAATCCCAAAGTATTATTTCTAACACATATGATCTAGTTCTGGTGTTTAACAGAAGCATCATGCTTGGAAAACCCTTGAGAACCCGGTTCACTTGGTTGGGGGGGCTTATGGACTAGCATGCATTTTTTAAGAAAATTGAAGGCAACAGTTACCAAAAAATGGATATTGATAGATGGAAGGAAGAAACATGCCTGCAGGTGAAAAATTTTGCTTCTATAGAACAATTTTTTTTTTTTTTTTGTGTGTTAACCTTCTTAAGTTACTTGGAGACTTTCAAGGAGACACTGAATGTTAGTTGTATGCAGTAAGCCAGGCAAAGTGCATACGTCTTGCTGGGCTAACCACATAAATGTTACTTGTTCTTTCCACCTTTCTGGAAAACCCTATTGTTTGATGTGCTTAAATACTGATAGATGACATTCTCTTTCAAAGATTTTTTTCCTCTCCCTATAATTTGTGGTATTTTTCAGAGTATTTTAAACCTTTCTGAAAACAGAATACTTAGGAAAGATCTTAAGTTTTAACAGTCAATATGACTGAAAGAGACACTGAATAGTGAAGAGTTTACTTGCTTGAGTTGTGCTAAAATGTCCACTTTTGTTTTTAAAAAAAATTTACATTTTACATTTTTGTTTTTAAAGTATTCATTACTCAAGTACTTAGTCAATTGAAATATGTTTACTAGTAGTTAAAGGGCATTAAGCCAATTTTATTTTGGGGAAGTGAAATCTTATTATTGTCTTGTCTTCCACAGTTTTGCCTGGATTATATCAAAATACGCCTTGAAAGTCAAGAAGGTGAGTACATCTTTCATTTTATGTTAATACCCAATATATATATTTTGAATGAAGTAACTTTGTCACAGGAATTAACAGGTGAACCATAATGAAATGTCAATTCTGGTTTTGTTATATTTGTAATAAATTATACTAGGTGCCTGTAGTCTGATAAGAGAAAAAAAAAAAATTAAGAGTATAAATTTGACCTGAACTGCCTGGGGAATAAAAACCAAAATGATTTTGCATTTTCTCTGCCTTCTACTGACAGAAAGAAAATTCCCAGATAGCAGGAATTAGCAATTTATGGTGTGCCTGCAACTGGGTCATTAGTTCTTCCCCTTCATCCTAGTAGAAGAGCTGTTGGTATTCTGGTGATAATTGGCAAAGGTTGTCTTGAAAATTATTAACAAAAACAATAGGCAAGTGTAACCTCTTGTAAAACATGTTACCTCTTCATCACTTTATTAGTTCTTTTATTTCAGATGCATAAGTGGAGAGTAAAAACCACACAGCTGTCTTAGACTTTTCCTGTCTATATCTCCCTTTACAATTTTTTTTTCTCTAGCCTATAGGTTGTATATTTCATGCTACTGAAAGAAACTGAAAGAAATACAGTGTCATAGTTTAGGAAATGGTGAGCTTACAACTATTGGTCTATTTCCTCTGTTTTCTTTCGTAGAGTTCTGCTTTGGGCCTGAAAAGAAGCTTTGCCTCCTTTTGTTAATCTTAAGTTTCCATAAAGATGCAGTCCTGTCAAATTTTGCCTTTTGTTACTTGTAAAAGAGAACTATTGTATTTTGTTATTATTATATGCAAAAAGGTGTCTCACAAGCTGTAAAGAGTAGCCTTTGCTCAGTCGAGTATTTAAGTTTCTGTTGCATCTAAAATATAGTATTTAAGTTTCTGTTGCATCAGTTTTCATGCATTAAATGTGTGAAAAAACCCCCCAACAATAACCCACTAAAAAGCTTGGTAAAATTTGTAGAAAATGTCAATTTTTAGTTAAAACAGCTTGCACAGTGAAATTATTTCCATGGGACTTGTCCCTCAATAGCGTAAAAATGGTAACTCATTAAATCATTAAATGCTGTGTTTATTGGAACATTTAATGCTTTTCCTTTTTTTTTTTTTTTTTTTGAGTTTTGCATCTGGACGAAGATGGGTGTATTCTCAGCTAGCTCCATTTCTATTAACTTCATAATCATAGTGTGATTTGTTTTAATACAAGTAAGGATCTTGAAATAAAAATGACACCTATTTTTTTTTCTTTACATTTATTACAGCGGTCATGCTTTTTCAGGGAGAGGCAAATGCTTTGAACAGCTGTAGAAACAGCAGTACTGTTCTACCTTGAGCTTGTTTTTGCATATATTGTGGTGGGTTGACCCTGGCTAGAGGCCAGGTGCCCACCAAAGCTGCTGTATCACTCCCCTCCTCAGCTGGACAGGGGAGGGAAAATATGATAAAAGCCTCATGGGTCAAGATAAGGACAGGGAGATCGCTCAGCAATTACCATCACAGGCAAAACAGACTCAATTTGGGGAAATTAACTGAATTTATTACCAATCAAATCCGAGTAGGATAATGACAAATAAGAACAAATCTTAAAACACTTTCCCCCCCACCCCTGTCTTCTTCCCGGGCTCAACTTTAGTTTCAATTTCTCTCCCTCCTCCCCCGCAGTGGCACAGGGGGACGGGGAATGGGGGTTCATCACATGTTGTCTCTGCCACTCCTTCCTCCTCAAGGGGAGGACTCCTCACACTCTTCCCCTGCTCCAGCGTGGG